AATAGGTAGATGTTACGAATAAATTTATATATATATATATATATATATATATATATATATATATATATATATGTGTGTGTGTGTGTGTGTGTGTGTGTGTGTGTGTGTGTGTGCAAATGTATGAGTAAGATTATCTATGTGAGTATATAAAAACCATATCGATCAAACAATTTTAAATTATCAAATAAAAACAGCTTGAGTTTTAATAATTTTTCGATGTTCGTTTACATCATAATCAGGAAATTATAAAGTTTTATGGGAGCAAAATATGTAGTTTCCTTGACTTTAGATAGATAGATAGATAGATAGATAGATAGATAGATAGATTAAAATATTTACTATCAAAAGACATTGTATATACTAGTAGTCATAAAAAAAGTAAAGGAATATTTAGTATATATCGACCAGCACTTTTACTTAGGATCTGCGTAGTATGTTCTCATTAGTATCATTACCTTACACTTCTGCCTATGATCAGCATAGTAACTGTGCACTTTATGAAAAAGAGTTATTCACAAAAATATATATATGAATAAACATTGTTTTATATATGCTGATAGTTCTTATTACTTTACATATTATTTTAGTAGGTACAGCAAGCATTCAAATATGAGGACGACATATATATTTACTAAGTCTGACACAAGGATAAAATATCTCAGCACCAGCGGATAACTGAATTTACGACTACAGCTTCCTAACATCTTTAGAAGACTAACAAAACAACAATGTAACATATATATATATATATATATATATATATATATATATATATATATATATATATATATATATATACATACACACATACATATATATATATATATATATATATATCTATATATATGTGTGTGTGTGTGGAGTGTGCGTGTATTCCTTATTATAAAATTTTAATTTATTACTATAATAATCTACTACAGACTACACACACACTCGCACACACACTCACACGTCCGCGCACGCGCGAACTAACACACCATACAAAATGCGTGTCGTCATATAGGTTTCCTTACAATAATATATTATATAATAAGGAGAACGAATATATACACAAATTCTAGAAACAAAAAACACACTACATGGACCAAACGCGCACACACATGCACAAACACACTAACCTTACACACCATACAAAGTGTATATATACACTATTTCCTTGTAATAATCCAATAATTATATATGGAAAACGAATGTATATACACATACTTGCGAAAACACACATACACACAATAGACAGAATGAAGAGATACGCAAGGACATAAAATGATAAGAACAAATACCTCTTTTCTTTCTCTTTCTCAACGCAAATTTAATTGTTTTTATGATGCCAAAAGCAAAGGAACATTTTCAGGTAGACCAAGATGGATTCAGATAACTACTACTATACACACAAGACAATTGTTAAAAGACTTACATAGAAAGAAAAAAATGAATTCCTTTAAACAATATGTGAATAAAACAATTCTTCGGTTTTTTCTCGCTTTAGATTATATATATATATATATATATATATATATCAGGAGTATCAAAAATACACATTTTGGGGGCGGGTTCCTCACACCAAAAATAGGACAAATGTCCATATAATCATATGCGCTCGAATCCTACGTTTTTAAGTTATTAAGTTTAAAGAAAGTTTTGGGTAGATGGCGCTGAGTTGCCATGTAGATTAGGTTACATTTGTCATTCGTGTATATTTGTGTCTAGTCTGTATTCAAAGTTTAAAGTGTGCAGTAGTGAGTTAATTGTTCCGTTTAACAATGTCAGTATATTCATATCATGAGCAGGAGAATATGATTTTTACATATGTCCGAGAGAATGGTAATGTATGCAAGGCTGCACGACTGTTTCTAGAACTTTTCTGCTGTTTATCGTTGCGTTGCTGAAACAGGATCAGTGGCACCCTAAAGTGTACAAAAGTATTTTGATATACCTTATATATATATATATATATATATATGTGTGTGTGCATGTGTCTGTGTGCGTGTGTGTGCATGGGTATATATGTATATATATATATATATATATATATATATATATATATATATATATATATATATGTGTGTGTGTGTGTGTGTGTGTGTTTGTATATATATATATATATATATATATATATATATATATAATATATGGTCTAATATCACCAGCACTCCTTGTGAATTACATGTGATATTATATATATCCATATATATGTGTGCGTGTGTATGTATGTGCATACTGTCCCTTCTCTCAGAACTTAGAGAGACAGACTTAAAAGGCAGAAGGTGGTTTGAAAGCAGAGTTTTCCTTCTCTTAGACTGGTCACCAGCCAAATCTATAGGGTCCAGTCTGTTCTACTATTTTGCCCATAGATCGCTTCATACCTTTCCAAAGGGTATAATCACGTAAGTGGATGTAATGATCTCAACTGTAATTAGAACTCCGTGCCGCTATCTCCACCGTGCTTCTAATCAATCTTAATATTTCTTCAATTTAGAAAGCACACTTGAACACAAGGTCTTCAGTTTGATCTACTTTTTAAAACTAATTGATAATAAATTTTGAATTTCGCAATTTGCGACTTTCTGCGTAACTTTTAACATCAAATAATCGACACTTGAACAGTTAAGGAGAAAAAAGTTCATTGAAAATTTAGTCGTTTTGCTTCTTCAAATGTCAACCAATTTGCTACTTGAGATCTAATCTGCAAAGCTGATTATAGAATTCCTAAAACTGATATTTATTATTACCTGAATTTCTCATTTATTTTACGACTGTATGTTATTTAATTTTGGGATTATGAAACTTTAAATTTAAGACCCGGAAGTGAAATCAACGATTCGTTGGATTTATGTTCTCTCGTTTTACTTTGTTTCGTTAATTCACTGTGTTTGGCAATATCGCCATCTGATTTTGTCATATTTTCATATTTATTTTTAGGATTTGATTATTTTTAATAAAGAACAAATCTCATTTATTATGATTAATCTGCTTATTAACCGGCAAAATTTCCAGTTGGCATTGATCATCGTTTGCTAGAAATAACAGACAATTTCTTCATGAAGCATCAGGAATGGACCTCCATCAATAACAATCAGATCGTAAGTTTAAATGTCGTAAGCCGGTTCGCTACAGTTCTGACTGATGAGGGTCTTTTGATGAAAGAGAAATGTTACACTCAATTTAAAACATGATCAAGATCGAAATCAAATAGACGGCCACAATATATATATATATATATATATATATATATATATATATATATATATATATATATATATATATATATATATATATATATATATATATATATATATATATATATGTATGTATGTATTTCGGACTGTTATCCTCATCTTGATTGCCATATTTACAACGTTTCGGTCGTTGTACGCTCCGGTCTTCTTCAGGTGATTGGAATTTCGAATCGAACCCTTTATTTCGTCCATCGGGGTACATTGTGCTAATTCCACGTGCCATACCTCTTTCGGATGCCTCAGTTATTTCCCTTTAACTCAACTCTCCAAATATATTGGTTCACCACTGCTGTAGCCAGCTACTGAACTCACAACTCTTTGGGTCTAGTCACTGGATCTAACCAACGACTTTATCCACTGGAGAGTGTGTCCTGGAGGAACTAGAACAATCTCCTCCGGTTGACGAAATAAAGGATTCAGTTCGAAATCCCAATCACCTGAAGAAGGCCGGAGCGTACAACGGCCGAAATGGTGTAAATATGGAAATGAAGATGAGGATAACAGTCCGAATGATGTAAACAATGTATATAATCACATCTCATCCCAGATATATATATATATATATGTGTGTGTGTGTGTGTGTGTGTGTGTGTGTGTGTGTGTGTGTGTGTGTGTGTGTGTTAAATTCCAACTAGCTAATTGTGTATTTAATAATGGCTCCTGTAGTCAGTATTTGGACTCAGAAGTCAAAAATCAGGATTTGAAATGCCTATTTTCAAGGCAGGCCTATGACGCAACACCGTCTTCCTACTCCAATTTTCCTTTATATTTTTCATAACATTATTTACGTCTTTTCGTGTCCTTCGTGATGTCACGAATAGGATTTTTGTTTACCTAAACCTCCCTTCATCTTGAATATCATATATCAGAATACAGCAAATTTTGTAGGTGGTAAATGAAACAATACCTACAGTAGTATTTTAGTACAACCCACATTTGAACTTGGCATGCTTTAGTGTTTTGTTTTGTTTTTTTTAAAAAAAAAAAATGTAATGAACACTTTATAAAAATTTCGTTTTTTGTTCAATAAAAACCGGAAAAAATAAATTGAACAAATATTAAATTTAAATTAAATTTAGTTGCTGCGAAGTCTAAAAATTCAATGCAAGAGATTCTCTTTCCAGAATTCCGTAGCAAAAAGTTAGTGCTGCGTATTATTCACAAATGATTGCAATACAATGATAAAAACACTTTGTCCAAGATTCAAACAAGAACAGCTCGAGCAATTTTAAATGCGTCTCGTTTCTTTATTTTTCTCTTTTGCGCGGGGTGGGACGTTTATTCATGAAAGAAAGTAAGTATAGTTCTTTACTATTAGCACTACTTTCTGTGTTAAGCCGACTAAAGAATCCAGGCATTGTACCATGTGTGCAATCATTGGCGTTCAAATCTATCGATTTATTTTACGGAAAATGTAATCCTAAAATGACTTGTTAAGATAATCTCCAGATTAGGCATCACGAAAAGGTGGTGGGAAATCGAGATAAGACTGTTGCTATCATTATTCTCGAAATATGAAAAAGAAAGAAAGAAAATAGGGAAGAAAATTGGCGGAATGAAAACGGAAGAAACCAAAAATGGAGAGAAAGGGAAAAAATAAAGGAAGAAAAAACGGAATCAAAGAAAGAAAGAAAGAAAGAAAGAAAGAAAGAAAGAAAGAAAGAAAGAAAGAAAGAAAGAAAATAGGGAAGAAAATAGACGGAATGAAAACGGAAGAAACCAAAAATGGAGAGAAAGGAAACAATAAAGAAAGAAAAAACGGAATCAAAGAAAGAAAGAAAGAAAGAAAGAAAGAAAGAAAGAAAGAAAGAAAGAAAGAAAATAGGGAAGAAAATAGACGGAATGAAAACGGAAGAAACCAAAAATGGAGAGAAAGGAAAAAATAAAGGAAGAAAAAACGGAATCAAAGAAAGAAAGAAAGAAAGAAAGAAAGAAAGAAAGAAAGAAAGAAAATAGGGAAGAAAATAGACGGAATGAAAACGGAAGAAACCAAAAATGGAGAGAAAGGGAAAAAATAAAGGAAGAAAAAAACGGAATTAAAGGAAAGGAAACAAGAAAGAAAGAAAGAAAGAAAGAAAGAAAGAAAGAAAGAAAGAAAGAAAGAGGGGAAATAGGAATAAAACGAAATTCAGGTAAAAAGGAAACATACCAGCGTGAGGGATTTTTCTTTACATTTTTTTTAAACAAACGAAAGAAAGGAAAAACAAAGTAATTGAAAAAAGTAAGGAATAAGAATACACAAAAAGGGAAGAAATAAAGGAAAAAATTTGAAAGAACAAAAATAAAAAAAGAAAATGTTAAAGAATGGAAAAGATAAAGTTAAAAAAAGAAGAATTAAATAAATGAAAAAGGAAAGAAAAAAATAGAACGAAACGAAAAGATGAAAGAAAGAATATAGGAAGCATGGGATAAACTAAAAACAAAAATTCAAAAATATAGAAAGAAAAAGGATTGAAAATGAAAGAAAAAGAAAGGAAGGTAATGAAAAAGGAAGATAATTAGAAGGAAAGGAAAAAGTGAAAGACTATTGGAAGGAACGGAAAAGAAAAAAGAAAAGAAAAAAAAAGAAAATGGAAGAAAGGAAGAACAGAAATGAGAAGAGGGACAAATGAGAGACTATTGGAAGTAAAGGGGAAAAAAAGCCTAGAAAAAGAAAACAAAAAGAAAAACGAAAGAAAAAGAAAATAAATGAAGAATCGAAAGAAGTGAAAAGAAACAAAGGAATACTGTTGTAAGGAAGGGAAAAATGAAAAAAGGCGGGAAAAATGAAAAAAGGCGGGAAAAATGAAAAAAGGCGGGAAAATGAAAGCAAAAAGAAAGTTGCAAATAAAGTGCTATATTTCTTTGAAGTTATTCTGAGATACGTAGAATATCTCGCTTTATTTGTTCGAAAATAAAACTGTTAAGAATTCGATGCGATAAAGTGCAAGCTGAAAAGTCTAATCTTTCAAATATGAATAAAACGCAGTTAATATTTAATCAATAATCGATATATACGGAAATTTTCTAAGTCACTATGTTTTATGGCAAGTGCTAGACTGACCGTGAGTGCCGTACATTTTCTTTTATTTTTATTTTTCTTTAGAAAATGTTTTTTGATTCAAGCTTGAATAAGTATTTCGCATAAAATATTTAGACCTTTGCAACAAACTTCTCCGTAATTTGGGCTGAGGAGTTACCATTATTTACATACTGACTATTGTCCAGATCTTTGCTGCTGTTATTACAATGTTTTCATCTGCTTATTACTGGCTTTATGAAGAAAGAAAAGCAAATTACAGTAAGTTTTCAACAGTAGCAGCTGTGAGAAAAGAGAAAATCTTCAATGTGTGCAGTCAAAGCATGACATCAGCAGGCAGGTACTGACCAGGTTCAACGTTGCTTAACTTCGGTGATCGGGTGATGCGGATCAGATGGACTAAATTAGGATCCGTGGTATTAGATTGCCACTTGACGCACCATCGAGATAGCATATTTCATATTCGTGTTTGTATAGTTTGCTTATAGGAAGAGATGAATGCATGCAAAAGTAAAGGCAACATTATACGGATACGAAATACGAAAACAGAATCAAATTGAACAAATTCCCCAGGTAGATGGAAATACAAAACAAGATCTAAAATATACATTGGTAAAAGATAACGAACAAAAATGGAATTGTCATACATAATACAAAAATGATGCAAGCGCTCTAAAAATCTTGTCGGCCATTAAAAATGTTCGCTTCTTGCAACAATTCTTTAGAATTTCAAAGATTCTACCTTTCGCCAGTTCAGGGATGAAAGCACAAAAAATAAATAACTACATATAACGAATAGGTTCTGTAAAACAAACATTTTTTCTCTTTTATACATTATATTTGTTTTTAACTTCATAGTAAAAAGAATAAACTGTGTAGTTATTTTATTCTAGACACTATGGAAATAAATAGCGAAACACGTCACTGTGTCTCTTTAAAATTAGACATATTTTACCATAGCTCACACTCTTGTAGGTTTCTGTTGTGTATTGATTGTTATATATTATTTGTAATATATTCGTTTTTGTCTTGTCGCCTGGTTTGTCAAGAAAAAAGACAAATTGTTTAAGCACTTGCTAGTAGACTTACTGAACGGAAGGTATTAAAGGTGTTTTTAAGATGTCACAATGGAAATGTCTGTCTCGGAAATGTCTGGCTCGGAAATGTCTGGCTCAGAAAAACATTGTGCTTTGCGATTTATCTGCAGATCTCGTGATTCTAACAGGCCAGCTGCTTGCCGCCAAGATAAATATGCAACACAAAGTAGGTTTATTGATTTACTCGTGAGTTAGTTTTAACATTACTTATGACAAAATGTTCTGTTGTGATTCTGGATGGTAGAGATTATCGTAATTTTATCTAAAACCAGGTTAGTACGGCACAAGGCCAAAGCAGGGTGTTGGTTAAAATCTCTTTAAATGACTACTAAAACCCATCTACCCAAAAATTACAGATAAATCTTACAGATGCACGCTGGGATTTCTTCCTAGCCAATAAAAATTGTCAATTCTTGGTCTTATCCCCATATTTTTCTCTTTTCTTGCTTTGAAGCCTATAGGCTATATGTTTGCCTTGAAGGCTAAATCTTGAGGTTATAATCACGTGACTGTATCCCTTTTGCATGTAAACCCTATTTCTATTTCATGAACTTTTTTTCTTCTTCCTCTTATTATCGTTATTGAGAATTTTGCCAATTCAGCTTAACTATGGCCGCTTATTCTACAGAGAAGGAAAGAATTATGTAAGGAGACCGTATCACGCTAATCTTCCAAATATGGTGGGCCTGCCCAGAAAATCTGTATTTCGAGCCTTTATACTTTACCTAAGTTCGAACAAAGACCTCAGTTCTACAAGTTCAAACTTTTGCAGCTAAAATCGGCTATGTCATATACAAAGTCCTTTTGTATTAAACTGGGAAGAAGAAGGTTTCATTCGGACAGCTTCCTATTAAGAATCGCTAATTTATAGAATGGAGGATGCTTTCCCAAGCGCTACAATCTTAGCCACTTCAAGTCTAGGTTCAACATTACCTATCCTACATATATTCATAATCCGCACTTACTTCTCTTCCCATGTTCATATAAAAACCTCATTTATTGGCCCTCTAACTTGAGTGGCTCTTTGATCTTGTATTGGATGAATTCAGTGAAAGAAGAGGCATCGATAAAAGAAAATACGCAACTGTTTGACTTAGGAAACTGTTATTCGTTGTATACTACTGAAGAATCATGACATTTCAGTGGATACCTAGGAATATATTTTCTTTTATTGATCAAACTGCCTTGTGTGTTATTAACATATTTGTCGGTCAAATCAGTCACTTGAAAATCGAAACATTTAAACATAACACAGACTGTCACCGCTTGGTGTTGACCTCAGTATCCACTTTTAAATGAATGCAATATTCATCCCAAAACAATGAAATAGAAAGCAGAAATAAATAGTAAGAGAATGGCAGTTGTCATGGAAAATGAGAAAGAATGACAATAATGTTGCTTTCTTTACAGGTACATATATATATATATATATATATGTGTGTGTGTGTGTGTGTGTGTGTGTGTGTGTGTGTGTGTGTGTGTGTGTGTGTGTTGGTTGACTTACGGGAGGAATTTTTCCCGCTAAAGAAAGAAAATTAGAAAAATAATATATATATATATATATATATATATATATATAATGATTAGTCGAATCTACCAAGAAAAATAATTTTAGTATGCAAGTATTGCACGTTTTACACAAGTTCAAATATAATGACTAAATAAACGTTGAGGGAATTTTGGCTTGCTAGAAAATCAGTACTTTAGTGGTTTACCATGGATCGAATATCAATGAATGGTATCCGAAAAGAAGAAGGAGCATAAATATGCAGAGTAAAAAAAAAGAAGACAGACAGACCGAGAAAGAAAGAAAGAAAGAAAGAAAGAAAGAAAGAAAGAAAAAGAGCAAGAGACCCCTCAAAAGAAAATAGAAAGAAAGACAGATCGAAAAAGAAAGAAAAAAAAAAAAGACAGACAGACCGAAAAAGAAAGAAAGAAAAAAGGACAAACAGACCGAAAAATAAAGAAAGAAAGAAAGAAAGAAAGAAAGAAAGAAAGAGAGCGGCAGACCCACCAAAAAAAATAAAATAAAAAGACAGACAGGCCGAAAAAGAAAGAAAGAAAGAAAGAAAGAAAGAAAGAAAGAAAGAAAGAAAGAAAAAAGAAAGACAGACCGAAAAAGAGAGAAACAAATAATGAAAGACAGACGAAAAAGAAAGAAAGAAAAAAGAAAGACAGCCAGTCCGAAAAAAGAAAAAAGGAAAGACAGACAGACCGAAAAAGAAAGAAAGAATATGATGTAATGACTAACCAATGAAAAAGAAAATAGATAAAAACAATAAGAGAATGACAATTGCCATAGAAAATAGGAAAGAAAGAAAGAAAAGACAGAAAAAGAAAGAAATTGAGGTATGACTAAAACAATGAAAAGGAATATGAAAGAAAAAAGACAATAAGAAAGAAAGGATAAGAATGAAAGAAAGGCAATAAGAAAGGAAGAAAGAAAATGAATTGATGATTAAAACAATGAAAAAAAAGAAAAGAAATAAATAATAGAAAATGTTAGTTACCATAAAAAATAAGAAAGAAAGAAAGGAGGAAAGAAGACAAGATAGAAGGAAAGAAAGGCAAAGACCTTGTGTCCTTTACATGCCCGAGAAAAATAGGAATAACACGTGTCCCCATTGCATTTGTTGGTTACTGTCGATCGATTATGGAAGTAAATAAGTGTCAATATTTTTTACTTTCGAGATAAACACTTTTATATAGGTATAAACAGACAACAAAGAGTCTAGTTACTGCTCGAAATAAAACATTATCCATAATTAAAATGTTTCTTTTAAGATAAAGAGGAATTTCATGTCATGACAACATAAATCAGCTTTAATGATTCAAACGTTCAAAATAGATAAGAATTTCTCTTTTCCATGACATAAAAGTTGCAGAGAAGAAAAATATATGGGTTGATTTGATAGTTATTCACGAAGCTTAATTTAGCCTGGTACAAGGTCACAAAAACATGCGAAGAACATAGAACATATAGCGCCAAAATTATAAATAGTGGAGGAAAACCAGCTTTCTTAAGAATTAATTTTCAAGAAGCTAATTCTCCTTTGCGCTCAACCAACAGCGACTGGAAAGTGTTTAATCGACCCAGCCACGAAGCAGGCGCCCAAAATATTTTAAATGCACGAAGAATATTTGCTAAGTTTACATTAGCATAACATAACTCTAAATGAAGGTAAAAGGAATTTTTCCATCCAAACTTAGAACTTTGCGTGCCTTGAAAATCAACTTTTCGAAAACCCAATTTTCTTTTACCATCTTTTGAACATTATTGACTCTATATGAAAAATACGTATCCCTGTTAACTCACTCTCTCTCTCTTTCCCCTACTCTCTCTCTCTCTCTCTCTCACTCTCTTTCTTTCTCTCTTGGAGATGCACTCATATACATTTCTCTATCTCTCAAAAATACATACATATACGGATAGAGTAGCAAACATACACACGCACACATATATAAATGTAAAAACACCCACACACGTAAGCATATACAGAGTGCGGCAAAAATACCTGCCACATATACCTCTCAGATATATCTCCTACATAATGGTAAGACATTAGTGGCAATGTTATCTTCATCTACGTAATGTCATATCATTATATAGGCGCTACATGTGGGAGGTATTTCTGTCACATCCTACATATATATATATATATATATATATATTAAATTAGTTGTTTAAGCATCTACCCAAATATGAGTATCCAATTAAAAAATAACATTTAAACAAATAAATTATAAAATCAGTTGAATTTAATTTATTTCCTAATATATATATATATATATATATATGTGTGTGTGTGTGTGTGTGTGTGTATGTGTGTGTGTGGTTGTGTGTACGTGTGCGTGTATTTAGGCAGCAAATTCTCTTTTAGGCATGTCTGATTGAATAAATAACAAACATTATGTCTGCTTATTTTGATCATAATCATTTCATATTCCCGAATATTTTTCCGTATATTACCATTAAATAAGGCAAGAAATGCACTATAACAGTACTTTTAAAGTACTTGGGAAATAAAAGTGACTCCGTTACAGTGAATTTCTTGTCTTATTTAAATGTACTATTCAAAAAATATTCTGTATTGTCAGATACTTTGTCTAACATGCTACAGTCCTGAGAAAAAGAGAAGCGATAAAGTAAAAACAAAAACCTATAATTCTTACCAACATGCCTCCTGACTCGATTTGTTCCTTACTTCTTGTCCTGACACTTACCGTGCACTGCAACTCTGTTCTCTTCACAATTTCTATCAGACTGTCGTGTCTGTTGATGTTACTTTGAATTGTCTATCAGCACAAACCGCCTATTCATAAGACGTCTTTCTGGTACCTGGCGTACCGATTAAGATTCGATTCATGATTTTCTTCATAAGTGTAATATTCAGTCTTTCTACTGAAAATTGTGCCTCTGCCAACATCGAGGATTTTTAGTCTTCTCGTAATTACTAGATAAGACCACATTCTTCTTACTAGTGCCTGTTCAGCCGCGATAGTCCATGTGAATCACTTTTCCGGCAATAGCAACGTGATATCTCTGATCACAACAAACGCTTCTTTGTTCTGCTGGTAATAAATGCAAACTTATCCCCATACGGCTAAACTGTTGTTCGCTGATAGAGCAAAACACTGTATAAAATTTTGGTTCTTATAACTCCTGTAGGCTTTGTAATAGTTTGTCAAATAAGAATAAGTCCTCAACCCCTTCTGTCTTCAATGAATTTGATATGCTATCATTTTCTATAGAAATACTTTGTCCTTCTAGTTGTACTCACGACTTATCAGGAGTACCCTTGCCTGATTTTCAACTTTAAAATGCGTCTCTACCGTGTGATATGTGATAACTGCATTCATAGTTTCCGCTATCAACTCTAAACTTGATCCCCACAAAGCATACGGACTCTCGATGGTATCATTGCAACTGTCTTTATGAAACTGGTCCCTGCTTTCTTCAAGCTCTGCAATAAATGCTTTGGTGCTTCTTACTTTCCAGATTGTTCAAAATCCTTTTTTGTAGTTCCTAGTTTTAAAAACTCTGGTGAACGGTCAGATCTTTCGAATTGTCTACTCAGTCAGTTATGTGTCATACGTGATACACAGTTAGGCGACCATGTATCTTTCGATACATGACTGACGAGGCAGATTTTCCCGCAGCAGGTTGTCATTTCTTTCTGTGGTAGAACAGTCACCATCCAAGGCTATAGAACTCGTAGCTAGGGGGTCGAAGGAGAGGATTCGTAAATTTCCCAGGGGTATTAGCACGCAAGTGAATGTAATGGATTCGACTGGAATTCGAACTAGGTTCTCCGATTCCCCAATCCGAGCGGCTATCCATTACTCCACCGTACCTCCCTAGAGGTTCTAATCAACTCCGAATTGGTTAAGCATCTCACCTCGCAGAGTCTTCTTTCAGAGAAACAATATGACTTTCGCTTCTCAAGGTGAACCACTGATGTCTTAACGGTTGTTACTAAAAGAGATTGTCAAGCTTTAGATAAGAATAGTAACGCTCGGGCTGTTGCTTTAGATATCTGGAAGAAGGCGTTTAACAATCTTTGACTTCTTCACAAGCTGGTGGGTAATGGTGTTTCTCGCCGTTTCTTTGATTTGATTCAATCTTTCTTATCAAACCAACGGCCCCTGCTCTAGATTTTTTTCCATTAATGTGGGCATCTCCCAGAGCTGTATCCTTGGACCAACTCTATTCCTTATTTCCCTCAGATACCATTCTGATCTCATCAGTTCCTGACTCGGTATCTATGCTGATGACATATTTACGCCTTTAGACATCACATCTCAGTAGTAATTCTGATAGGTTCGATAAAATGAAATAGTTGATCCCCGAAATGAACATGCTGCAGTCCTGAGTGCTTTAGATAAAAAAAACAATAAGAGAATGACAATTGCCATAGAAAATAGGAAAGAAAGAAAGAAAAGACATAATAAGAAAGACTGTAGAAGATGTATCTATGTACAATTGGGAGGGTTGCATTTAGATTGAGAATGTTTCGCAGAAAGTAATCTTTTGCAGCTCTGAGATGCTGATGTGTCCAAGAATTTCACTCACATGATATTCGGTACCATTCTTTGCGCTTCTACATTTTTCTTACTTAGATTTGCATGTCCTTATAATTAAACAATTTTTGAAATTCTTTATTATATTATTATTATTATTATTATTAAGCGTTCATCACGCCAGCAAAATTGAGGAGAAATATACGAAGCCTATTATAATAGATATTCGAAACACATCTTGACAGTCAGTTCGATAAGGGTATACAAGGCACCCGTATCACAGTCAATTTTTAGCGACATGGTGACAGCGCCTAAACTTGCAGGCTGGAGGTCCAGATAGAAATCACTTCAGGTAGGTTAATTCAGTCCACTCAGATAGTCATGGATTGAATGTGTTTCTAAATACCTACATGTGACACTAAAATCGTATTGCCTGAATCCTTTTTCAAACATGAGAAAGGGAGAACCCTCTCGACAACCGGTCATGATGCTTCCCCTCTACTTCCACACATTAACAGAGATTCACGGTGTATCAGTACCCAGGGGACGATTGGTTAACATCGGGCAACTGAAGAACAGAGCTTCGGGCGAGTGAAGCATGTAGGACCACACTTTTTTTTTTAACTTGACGCTAGATAATCGCAAACAAATAACTGTACCAGATAAGAGAAACCACATTACTTGAGGACTTTCAACAAAATCAACATCTAAAACGGATAGCACTTGTAACTCGAAGGAGAAAGGCGGTTGACATTCGACACTACTTCGAACAAAAGGTTAGGAAGGAAACTCCACATCAATACTGAAAAGAGCAATAACAGTTGGTGGACTTGAAAAATCTATTTGCCGTAGAAATTGTTTTACTAAAAAGATTTTATGAATTTCAACCGATAATGGCAGTGGCAGTGGCTTATCTGTCAATGAATACCAAATAGTTCCCCATAAGTAGGTCAGCTGCTAAGAAAGTTGGTTCACCGTGTCGTGCGAGACAATATTTCTCTCTAGAATATATCAGACATATCTGTGTTTACCATTCGTTCATGCTTAGAATATTGCTGCCACATATGGTCCGGTGCCCCTGCTATTTAACTTGAGCTCCTTGATAAAATCTGATGTAATGAATATGCATACACCTCTGTTCCCCCTCACATTAATATGATTGACTGGTGTCAACCATAAATACAGACTGGTGTGGAGGTACAAGGACGCCTATTGTCTACACCTATTGTTTTCGCCTATTGCCTACGCTCATTGCCTACCACTACGACAAGGACCAGTCCATTACGGTTTCCTGCTAGATTGTCCTACTCGGTTACAGTAGTCCAAAACCACTTTGCTACTTCGAACAAATATATCCCTTTCCGGGACATATCAAAATCCAAAAAAGAATCAGCAATATTTTCGGTCTTTATCTGGCAACTCGGCTTCAGTCACTTTCCCACCACCGTAAAGTTGCTTCCCTGTGCCATTTCTAAAAATATTTTCACGGTAATTTTTCGGATGAACTCTTCGCTAATGTACGTAGACTTTATTAATTTAAGCGCAATACTAGACTGGCGTCGAGATCTCATCAATCAATTGAGCTGGCAAGATGTAACCGTAAGTTCTATGCTAATAGTTTCTTCTATTGCGCTTCCCGCTTTTGGAACTCACTTCCGGCTCCAATGCTTTCCAATCAACTTTAACCTGCAAAAATTTAGATGCACTGTCACTCGATATCCACTGTCCTCCTGATTAATCTTTTCAATTCCCGCTCATTATTAATGTTCCTGTTCTTAATTCTTCTACACCCAGTAACCTTTTGTCTCTTAGTAGCTTTACTGCACTGCATGGGGTTGAACCGATGAAAAAAAGAGCAAACTGCTAATATTACTATTCCATCTTAATCCACGACATGTATATGTTAAGACCTCTAATCACTTAAGATGAGGAACCATGAGAGTCATGTCTG